TTTTTTCTTTTTTCTTTCCGTTTCTTCCCCCCTCCTGAAGGTTGGTGTTGCACCAAGGCGTAGCCGGGGTCGGCAGGTGCCATTCAAAAAATCTCAGCATCTTGCATCCACAAGCATCAACATTACTCCCAGTCATGCTGGCGACGGCATCTCAGCAAGAGGGGATGGCTGTGTTGCCATTGGTCCCGGTGCCCCCCGGGCCCATGGTGACAGCCCCCTCCCCGTCTTGACCATAGCAAGGGATGAGCATCCAGTGGTTATAAGGTGTGATTGGGCTAACACTTGAGGCATCCCTCTGCCTGCTCAGTCAATCCCCTGGGCTATCAATGCTGGCAGGCACTCCCCTTTTTCAAAAAAGAGTTGTACAGGGACGCTGGACCCGATTTCCAGCAGGTGTTGCTCCCCACAAATAGATGGAGTCTTCAATACTGGGGCCTGGTTAAGGAGGATGCTCTTATCACCTCGTTAAGCAGGTTTCCTGGGGCGTGAAGTTAAAAAAAAAAAAAAAAAGGGAAAGTAAGGAGTGCGGAATGAAGATGAAGGCACGGGAGAGTGTAAGAAAAGGATCAAGAATCAGTCTGTCCTAGACGACAGAGAGGACATACATTGCAAGGATGAGGTCGATGAACACATGAAGACCGAGCTGAGCATTCTCAGTACAAAAATTGCCATGACGGCTGACATCGAGCATGCCCACCATTCACCGCTGAAAAATGGCATGTCGATTGCAGGTCAAAATGAAGGAAGAACGGTCACCACAAAAGACCATGTATTCAGTGTAGCACCGATGACCGCAAAATGGACAGTGTGTGTGCGGATGCACAGGGTGTCTGCGGTCAGGAATGGAGGGACAGTCCTCTACACACATGGATGCAGAAACCGTGTAATTGTGGTGATTGGCGGCTACAGCCGAGTGCAACAGTGATTGTAGTTGTGCAAAGGAGAAGGTCACAGAGTTCTGGTACATTGTCACTGAGTAAGTCCTTTGAGATATTGCACGCATTGCGACCTGGATTTGTTGACATAGCTTTGATGATAGTCACTACCTCATCTGGATCATATCCCAACAACTTTACATGCATCCAGATGTTCGATTGCACAACCCAAAGGCAATTACGGATCCAGGAGCATAAGTTTAACAGAAAAGAAGTGGAGAAAACGGGCCCATATTACTTTGATGATAGTCATTGCCTCATCTGGATCATATCCCAACAACTTCACATGCATCCAGATGTTTGATTGCACAGCCCAAATGCAATTATGGATCCAGGAGCATAAGTTTAACAGAAAAAAAGTGGAGAAAACGGGCCCATATTACTTATTGACTCTATCGAGTCAAAAAAACAGTACTCGGAAAAACAGACCAACCTACCGGCCAGCAAACTCATGATGTGAAGGCTTCCCTGGTCCTTGCTCTACCATGAATCCATCACGTTGCATCAAATGCTATATGGTTCTTTTTCTGACCGCCAGGTCCCACTGGAGCTGTGCTCGTTCTTGGAAAAGCACCATCTGACCATTTCTCACTCAGGCTCCTGCTCTCGAGGCATAGACCTAGCACCAGAGGAGGGGGCTGGTCCTCAGAACTGGTGCAGTGTTTGCGATCTAACGGTTCCAACCTGAACCACGATTGGACTGGGCCTTACATGCATCGGGTCCAACCGGAGAGCGACAGAGACACTGCAATGTTTATGCAATGTTCTGAAGCACACCTATAGATCAATGCGAACAGTTCCAACTACAACTGTGCTCAAAGAATGGTGCAGTATTGCAGAGCTGTTGGCATGTGTAAATGACAGTTATTGGTGCCCCCCGAATCTCCAGTGATGTTCAGACTATGGATGCCATTCGTTGCACATCCAGAGGACAACAGTCCATTCCCAAAAGCAGGTGCAAGAAAGGCATGGGGGAGTTGAGTCCCCGGAAAAAAGGTAAACACCGAGCTTCGTTGGTATACCCATAAACTGTCGAATTCCAGGCCCAAGTTCGAATCCTGATGGACCCAGATGAATGCCATGAAATAATTATGGATAATCTGGGGTCGGTCAACATTTTGGAAAAAAAAAGGGAGGGAGGAAAAAAAACGAGGCAGAAAAGTCACAAAGCCTGCCAAGGATGAGAGGGGGACAGATTCCACCCGCATGGGCCTGTGATAAGCCCGAAGCCTGATGAAATAAATAAACAAGGCAGACAAGTCGGCCATAGACACACGCACAAGTATTTATTCCATGGCAAGCAGTGCAGAGAATAGAGACATGCATTGGACGGTTGATAAAGTGGAGTAGGTGAGATCAAGGGTTTGATGAGAAAGGGTCTGAGAGTCCAGCGGATGAAGAGACCCACCTGTATCTCGGGTTCTGATCTCCCATGGCGCTGGCGATCCTGGCATAGTCGGAGACGGGGCGCCGTTGACCGACTGCAGAGACAGGTCGTTTCACTTTGTGGTTGTTTCCTGCATAACTTAAATGCTCTATTACCCACTGCTCATGCTCCTCATCCCAATGAGCTTTTCTCATTATCTTCCCAACCTCCTCTGGCGGAATAAAGCTCTGCAATCGAACAAGTAGCAACCTGAATGATCAGAAATCCATCGCCATCATCAGCTAGGTTCACAGTAATTGCTATATTCTCACACATGTCCCATACTGAGAGTTCTGCCATGAAGGGAGAGCTGCTGGGGCAGTGTGATGTTGGAAGGAACCAGTGGCAGACACACAATGGCCCTGTTGATGTTGTGTGCTGCAAATGCATGATCCTGCCTTCAACAGCGGCCAGATTCATCCTTAGTTCTTTGTCATTTTACTGCCTCAGCACCATCACCAAACAAGTCTGACCCCACTAGTACAATGCTATTGCTCAGAAATTTAGAATGCACGTTCCTGCTCTTAACAACTGCCAGATTCATGCCTAGCTCGCATAAACATAGCACCAGTGGGGCCTGGCCCTGAGATTGGCCCCCTTGCAAAATAATCCACTCCCCCCCTTTTTTTATTTTATTTAAACAGAACCTTAAACCACCAGTACTTCCTGATGTTGTGTATTGCGAATGCATGATCCTGCCTTCAACAGCGGCCAGATTCACCCTTAGTTCTTTGCCATTTTATCACCAAACGAGTCTGACCCCACTAGTACGATGTTATTGCTCAGAAATTTAGAATGCACATTCCTGCTCTTAACAACTGCCAGATTCATGCCTAGCTAGTACAAACATAGCAGCAGTGGGGCCTGGCCCTGAGATTGGCTCCCTTGCAAAATAAATTTAAATAATCCACTCCAACCTTAAACCACGAGTACTTCCTAAAGTCGTGCCAGTTAACAAGCCACAATTTTAGGAAACGTCCGCGCCACTACAGGAGTGCCCAAATTCATCCGGCCGATAGCTAGGCCAAGTACTGGTGGTTTAAGGTTCTGGCTCCTTTTCCATTCTGGGGAGCGTATTCCACCGGCAAGTCGAAAGAATTGCAATGAGATTAAGGTGGGAAGGCCCGGAGGTTGGCATTGATTACTTCCGAGAGGAAGGATGTACCACCCCTCATCCCTGCCTAAGTTAGCCTGATCTATTTCTGCTCTTTAGATGCTAATATGACTTCCCTATTGTTTCGATACCTGCTGCTTGTCTACTCGCGCTCCGTCCAGCCTGTTCCTCTCAGCTCCTTGACTTTCAGATTCTCCTTACGTGCCTGAACTGCTGGTCCTGCCTTCTGGGGTGGACTTCGCTAAGAACTTGAAACCTATTAGGCTTCACTCTGTGATCCTTACAAAAGTCTCAAACTCTAGCCATCTCTTTTTTTAAAAGCTTGCCCCTATCTAAGTTTGTCCCGCTGACTTGTTCTAAGACTTAATTCTGATCCGAAGTTGATTGTACTGAACAGCCTCTCGATGTGGTCCTCGTTTTCTACTTCTTGTAGTGCACATTAAGGCCCTGAATCTTGTAATGCCCCTTCCCGACTGACTGAGGCTTGCCTCCTTGTCAAATTCAGTGCAACCCTAAACCCTTCGGTGCCTGAGTGGCCTTACTGCTGGAGAGAGAGATCGAGCTGGCTGGGGAGGGGACTCATCGCCTGTTTCCTGGCATCTTGCGCTTCTGGCATAATTGGTGTGGGGAGGGTATTTATGGGGCTGTGGCGGAGGGGTGATGGGAATGTTCTTGGAGGAATGGTGGGAGGAAGCGGTGTGTGATGGGGGGCGCCTGGGGTATAAGAGGTGATTATTGAGGGGGCTGGGTTCTTGGTGAGGGTTAGTCTGTGCTGGGATCAAGGTTGTTAAGGGGTTAAGGGGGTTGCTGCTGCTGCCTGAGGGTGGGATGATTAGCCAGTTCTTAAGGGATAGAGTACCATTCTTTATAGTTCCTAGGTGACCTGCTCCTAATTTGTGGGTTGTGAAATTTTGGGTTATTTTTGGCCTTTTGTCAGGGGCATTTTGATTTTTTTTTTTTTTTTTTTTTTTCCAGAGCACGTGTAGTTCTGTTTCTATTATGTTCTTTATTGTGATGATTGGCTTCTCTGCAATCAGACTCGCTTTCTTCTTCACTTCGCATACATGCAAACAGATGGCAACTCAGTCTGGCGCCAAGCGCCCACTCAAAGCTCAGAGATCTGGAAGTCGAGAACACAGTTCAGATGCAAACTCACTTCAAAAGGCTATGGCGCATCAGCGCCTGTACATCCCAACTCTCGTCACTGTGTCCAACACCACTGTTCGCACATACTCAACTCTGGATCACCCTGGATACCCCACACACATTCACTGTATCACGCACTCGTACACATACACTAACTCCTAACACTAGCTATGGCGGTTATGGCCGCCGGCTACTACTGTCTATGGACACTCTGCCTTTCTTCAGCCCACTTCGACTTCGGGCAACCTGCAGACCACCTCGCACAAGACGCTGTGGCAGCACTTCCGCATGGCTTACGCGGCGAATGAATGAATGGCTGGGCGCTGCCTCTTGATTTATACTTCTGTAAGTCGTTGGTCTGCCCTTTTCCACTGGGCCCATGATGCACACAGTCCCTCATGGTACTTGCTGACTGTGCAAAGTGAGACTGGGACTGGGTACCGCTGACTAAACGAAGTTGGACTCACCACTTGCCCACTTGCCTCTGACTAAATGTGAGAAACTCTCGAAAGGCCACTTCCGGACCTTCCGGAAGTCTGTGAACTTGGCCTTTCGGCACTGTAGAAGCTACGACCTTGACCTTTCAGAAACGCTACAGCTACGGCCTCTACGCAGCTATGACCTCTACTCGACAGACCTACAGATCGAACCCCTACAACTACACAGACCTACGACAGACAATAGCCAACTACCAAAACACAGGTCACGGGTTCAAACACTCAGGCGTCAACTCCATATTGTACCGGCCTAAATTCGAGGTCCTCCGAGAATACTTCAGTCTAAGGCAGGACCTTTTGCTTTCTTATCTCTTTCGTATGCTCGGACTACTTCGGGAGCTGTCTCTAGAAGTTCTGTTCGTGTAAACCAGCGGTCGTCCTTTGGGTCCTGAAAAGCGAACCTCACCTTATATTGTTTCTGTGGACGACCCCTACCTCCTGTTCTAAAGACATCTTCACCTACGATGCTGTCAATGTCGTACCTTCCGTCCATGTCCGGAGGGATCATGGATCTCCGCGATGGAAATTGTTAACTCGTTGTACAAGGCAACAACTTTGACGCACGAAACACCAGATAGGTGTGGAGGTGAGCTGGAATCTCGACTGTGTAGGACGGTCCATCCTCCCCGCCCTTGACTTCTAAGACTGGCCATGGTCCTCGGTATGCAGGCAGTAACTTTGGTGAGATGTTCTCCTCAGGAGCAAACTCTTTGGACTTGACCCAAACTAAGTCACCTACTTGAAGCTGTGATGGGCGACGGTTCTTATTCGCTTGCTCTATCATTCTATGCTGGGCCTTCATGAGGTTCTCTGTGACGGTAGCAATCTCCTTCTCGTAGTGTAGTGCAAACTCCCTAGCACCGGGTGGTAGCCCTTGAACCTGGTCCCGGTTCAGTCCCTCAAATGGTCTACGTGGTCTAAAGGACTTATGTAACTCGTTGGGAGTGCGACACGTTGCTAAGTGCACATCGTTATTGTATGCGCTGGCTACCTTGGGAAGCATCTCATCCCAGTTAAGCTGATCAGGTCTAATATACATCCTGAGAACTTGTTGCCGGATTTTGTTCATCTGTTCAGTCTGACCATTAGTCTCAGGGTGACGGCCAGATGACATTAACAACCAAGAGCCATAGACTCTCATCAACTCCTGCGAGTTCTGACTAGTGAACCTGGTATCTCTGTCACTAACTATCAACAACGGGAGACCATGTTCACTGACCCAATGATCGAAGAACTTGTCTATAACTGTTCATGCGTCTGCAGGTAAAGAAACAAAAATTGCATATTAACTAAATCTATCAACTATAACCATGACTTGGGTCTTGCCATGCCTATTCTTGACCCCAGCATCCATAAAGTCTATGGACACAGAATCTTCGGGTCCTGTGGGGATCGGTAAGGGTCTGAGAAGACCGAGAGGGCCCCACGTAGTGGTCTTATTCCGTTGGCAGACTTTGCAACTGTGTACATACTCGATGCAGTCCGTTTTCATACCTGGCCATGTATATGCGTGCATGAGGTTGGCTAATGCCTTTTGCCAACCAAAATGTCCCTTTGTGTCGTGACATTCCCCTAGGATCAAACTACGGATCTCTTCACTGTCGGGATCGCACAATCGGTCAGCTACATTGGTCTTCTCAAATAGTAACCCATCTGTAGTGCAGTAATCTGGCTCAGACTCTGGAGACTCCTTAACTCTCTTGAGGAGATCACTGTAAATAGGGTCCTGCGCATATGCCTCTTTGACTTTCTGTTGCAGGTCTCTCCCTGTATCCAGATAGTGAACTATTGCTCCAAAGTAATCAGCTCTTCTACTTAGAGCGCCCGCGACTACATTATATTTCCCTTTTACTGGCTTCAGCTCAAAGTCACATTGATCTATCTCTGCGGCCACCTAGTAAGCTTAGGTGTCATCTTGGCCCGCGTCTTTGGCCACCTTAGTGTCTCGTGGTCTGAATAGACTTTGAAGTGTCTCCCAAGCAAGTAGTGCTTCCAGTGCTCTAGCGCTTGCCTGAGAGCGTAGAGTTCCCTCTCATACGTAGATGTCGCTACCTTCTCTGAAGGCATCCTAGCAGACATTAACTCTACGGACCTATACCCATTGCCATCATCTTGCTGTAAAACAGCACCTATGTCGTACTAACTTGCGTCAGTGGTGACAACAAAAGGTAAGGATGGATCAACTACCTTGAGGACTATATATACAGTCTTTATCCCACTTCCAGATTGCCTCTTTCTTTAGCAACCTGCGAAGGGGAGCGGCGATAGGAAAAGTTTCTCACAAATTTCCTATAATAGTTGGCTAGGCCTAGGAACGAGCGCAACTCTGTCAATGTGCAAGGCGTTGGCCAATCTCTGATCGCCGCTATTTTGTTGTTCTCGGGTTGAATGCCATCTCCGTCTAAGACGTGGCCCAAGTATAGGACTTATG